TTGCTGCATTTTGACATGTTCATTCCTCTCCTATAAGGCTATTTGTTTCTGTTATTATAAGAGTAAGATATTCCCGCACTCTGTAAAGTGTTTTTGCTCTTGATTCGCAGTCGTTTCCATTTACTGGAAGCCATCAGCATCATCTGGAGGTCTCTGTGGTGTTGTGGTGAAAACAGTCATTAGCAGATCAGATGATGATCATCATTAGCCGTTACATCAGCCAGAAAACCCACACAACATGTAATCTGTATGTTCTGCGCTGTGAGGATGTCTGCTGTCCTGTATGCACTCCGCTTATCATGTGCCACATTCAGACGGGAATTCGATTATGACTAGCCTGAAGTAATGTGCTGCTGCTGATGTTTTCAAGAAAGCAATTTACTGCACGGGAAGTTTGATTTAGAAAGTCATTAAGCAGCCGTTGAATGATATCTCTTAATGGAACGCTCTTAAAGGGGTCATATGATGCTTTTTTAAAGATCATTATTTACTGCGTTACTGAAACCACGCCTTCTTTCTTTGCGTGCACATTTGGGCGCATTATGCTAATATTTCCACATAGTGAGGTAGATATGTGGGGGCGTGTTAGAACGAGCCGTTTTAGGGGGGCGTGGCAGAGTCTTAACTTTGATAAAGAATATCTCTTTGGTTTTGAGACTTTAGTCTTTGCAACTTCAGGGATCTTATCTATGCACAATCAGCTTGTAACCCTCCAAAGAGAAATAACAACTTGAAATCGCATCATATGACCCCTTTAAGATCTAATGCTCACATTTTATTTACTCACTAAATGTCTAAACATGCTGATTTATTTTTGCGTGCTTCCTGCTTTGCGTCAGTTTGATGTTTTAATCTGATTATAAATCTGTATATTGTGATATCTTAGTGCAGGGTGGTATACCGGTTCATACCGAATACCGGTGTTTATTTTTGTTATGATATGAATTTTTAAAATACCGCAATATGTTGCTTAAACACCGTTGGGAACACGGCACTGTTTGAGAGGGGATTTTTTTTTTAGTTTGTTACTCAGATGCAGGCAGTGCGCTGCGTGAGACAAAAGAGTAATCTAGCCCAAACAACCACATAGCCGCTCTTTAGTGTAGATGCATGCTGATTTTATCAGACGATGCCGTGATTATAAATGAGAGTGACTCCTGGTTAACATGTATTAAAAGGGGTCGTGTTTAGTCACTATTTAGTGTGGTATTTTTGACAATATTCACTCATCATGACAGTAAAATAGAGCATTCTAAGTCAATATACTGCAGTATTTCCTCTCAATCAGTAGAAGATATGGTTAACACCCGCTCATGCATGAAAACAAAATACCGTCGTGTACCGTGAAACCGGTATAATTTTGAAAAATATTGTGATATACATTTTTGGTCATACCGCCCAGTACTATGATATCTGTGTGCGTATCACTGATCTGTGAACCGTAAAGGTGTTTTTTCATGTCTTTAAAGGTCTTAAATCACAGCAGAATGTCTTAAATTCATAAAGTCATGACATTAAGTGTTGTATAAACAAAAAACTAATTTTTCTCAATACAAATATCTAAACATTCTTAAATCAAGATGCATTTACTTGAGATGCAAGTGTAAAATGTAGTCTTGAAAATGTATGTTTGGAACAAGAACAAATTTGACAATTGGGTATAAAAACTTGTTTTGCTTTTTTTCTGAGCCCATCAGCAGATTTGTTCATGTTTTAATCATAAACTCACTTCATTTTGATCAATCTGCTGTTTATTTCACAAAGACGACCATCTTATTCTGTTTATTTCACAAGTAAACTGACTTTTTTTTGTATTTCAGATACGTTTTTACAGCTTTTCAGCCCAAGAACAACAGTTTTAAACTCTAGATCAGCTCATTTCTTCTTTAAACCTATTTATTTCAGATTTATACACACGCATTGTCGAATTCGTCTTGCTGCATTTCATAAAACCATTGATAAATAATCAGAATCATGCATTTTGACATGTTGTTTGGAGAAACCAAATTTTTATACATTTTTCTTAAAACAAGATTCTGTCTTCTGTTATTGTGCATCTCCAGCAATGTGTCTTAATTTTAAATCTTTACACATTTCTACTTGGGGAAAACGAGAAAGAAATACTAAGGAAGAACAGCACTTTTTTTTTGCAATGCGATTAGAAGATACTGTAAAAGTTGTTTCCATGTTCTGGTGGTTTGGAGCAAAGCTATTTAAGCCTTAAGCTATTGTTAATTTGGAAACTGCATTGAAAAGTTGTTGTTTTCAAGCTTTGAAGTGTTGCTAATACGAGACATTTACATTAAGAGACCATATTGACGTATTGTGTTCCCTTCTATTTATTATTACTTACATTTTCCTTGCTTGTTCTTCGAAAGCCTTCATCAGACCTGCAGCAGTGCGGCTTGTTTCCAGTGTAATATTGATAAGCGTAGCGCTGTTGTGAGAGGGATTTGTGTCTGTGAACAGGACTAACCTGTGTCCAGTGTCGTCCCCAGTGAATATTTAATGGCTCAAAGTCTGTGTTATGAATGTTTAATGAAGGATGTGCTCTGACGCCGGGACGCTGAGATTTTCATGTTTTCAGATTGAGTTTTGGACTGTCCAGCATTTGCTCGGAGTCTCTTGAAAACGCTTGTGTGTTTGACCAAAGAATGCCGTGATTGTCCACTCGTACAGTCTTTTAGAGGTAGGCCCAGTGTGTTTATCGGGTGTCTGATGCATGAAAATAATCCGATGCATGTTGCTGCTTCAAGCTTACAGGCGGATTTTATACGTTTTCCACAGCATTTAACTTCAGCAACATGTTTAATGGTTACAGTGTATGTGGGTTTCTTTTAGAGAGATATCCATGAGCATGTTTCATGTTTTTATCAAACACATGCTTCATTGTCTGGTTATGTTTCATTGCCATTTGTAAGTCACTTTGGTAAGTCACTTTGTAAATTTGTTTTAGCATCCAGAAATAGCCAATGTTGTGTGAATATTTATTTATATATTTGCACTGAAACAGCGTTACTCGTTTTTTTCAGCGTCACATTTTTATGATTTTGTACAAGTCACATGACAATGTGCGACGTATTCGTAACGAGACTCGTTTATAAATCTGCTGTTGTCAACAAAAAGAAGCATTGATGTCTTCCTGCACGTTTCGGCCAAAATAAACTCTACAACATTCGTAAATGTTAGTATTGTAATTTTACTGTTGTTCTGTAAAATAAAATAATAAGACGATAATAATGATAATAATCATTACAACTGCTGTTAATACATTTATTATAACATCACACATAGTGTTCAGATTGGGATCTGTAATACTTTCTAATGTTTTAAAAGAAGTATCTTCTCAGCAAGGCTGCTTTTAATTGTACAGTAAAATTTTAATTCTGATTCAAGAAGGGGTTCTGATGGCCAAAAAATATTATTTTACTAACTTATTAATGTTAAGTTAAATTGTGCTTTGTTGGTATACTGTCTGCTAGAATTAGGGGTGTGTGATATATATCGTCTGCGATAATATCGTAATTGTTGTTTTAACGATGTGCGATTTGACGACATCGCGTATTTTGCAAAACCATTCAAAACATGCCTACAGAGCGCACGCGTACATCACGTGAAGTCTAGACTAGTGCGTGCGTGTGCGCGTTTAGTTTGTGTTCTTTCACTGCATGATTCAGGCTATTAAAATGCATTTAGAATGATCACAAATTCAAGACATGATGGCAGAACATTTATATATTTATACCACTTCATATAGTTATTCAATTTCACACGAAGAGTGCCGTTTTTCTCAAAATTACCGTGATTACAAATGTGACATTGAATTCAGTAAACAATAAGTTAATTAAGAGACTTACGTTTTAGACCTCAATCCTCAATCCATTCCACTCTTAAATATCGAGATATAATTTTTTGTCAATATCGCACACCACTAAAGCTAGAATGTAAAAAATCTTAAATATTTTTAAATTGTTGATTTGTAATTGATTTTTTTCTTTCAAAAGCAAGACAAACCCGTAAAATGCACATTTTGGCTATTTAATTTGTGCAATGGTGCAAAAAATTGGCAAAATACATGAGGAAAAAAAACTCGAAAAAGTGTATTCCAGTGTTTCATTGCTCAGTTTCGGCTTCGGCCAAGAATTTTCATTTCGGTGCATCCCTAATTTATTATTTTTATATTGCATATAAATATTTTAATAAATATATATATATATATATATATACAGTAAAAATAATAAAATTTGTGTGTGTGTATGTATGTATATATATGTGTATATATATATATATATATATATATATATATATAAAAAAAAATTTTAATAAAAAAAAAAAAATCAAACCAAAATTTGTGTGTGTGTATGTATGTATATATATGTGTATATATATATATATATATATATATATATATATAAAAAAAAATTTTAATAAAAAAAAAAAATGTAACCTCAAACATATTCCAGAATACAGTACCTGTAGTTTGTTGTGTTTTTGAATGTTACTGTGAAATGATCAGATGTTCTTGTGTTGTTTGTGTAATTCAATTAGAGTCTGTCTTGCTGTGCTTTACGACCCTCTGTTTTACGATGCGCCGTGACAGCTCTCAGATTTATTTGCGAGACACGCCGAGCGGTCGTTATGAGGCGGAGCTGTTCCTGCGACGACAGGGGTCGTGACTTCATTGTGGCTGAATGCATCGTGTTATAGATGTGTTTAATTGGCGGGATGGAGAGGGTGAGGGGTGTGGCTGACCTATGCCCCTGTGCTCTGTTTATGGAGGGTCTTTACTGCTCGAGTGTGTGAGACAGTCACTGTACTGCCCTCCCCCAACACACACACACTACACAGCACAACTGTTTTAACATTGATGATAATCAGAAATGTTTCTCAAGCAGCAAATCAGCATATTATACTGATTTCTGAAGATCATGTGACACTGAAGACTGGAGGAATGATGCTGATAATAATTAATGTGCATCTCTCCCTCTCTCCTCGCGCAGGCTGTTCCTCCAAGTCGTTCAAGCTGTACTCCCCAAAGGAGCCCCCCAACGGAAGCGCTTTCCCCCCCTTCCACCCCGGCACCATGCTGGACAGAGACGTGGGGTGAGTCCGTCTGTTTCAACGTCATTCACAGCAAATATCAAAAGCAGTATCACCCGTATGAGCTCAGAATCAAGAGATACTATAACTCAATTTTAAGCATATAGTGCTAAAAACTATCCATAAAGAATAACTTATGATGTGCATGAGAGAGCATTTCGGATCAGTGCATGCTGGGATGCTGCGGTGTGAGTTCCTGTAAGCGTCTGTGAGGACTGAAGAGCGTTCAGCTGCATCAGCAGTCAGTGGATGTTTCTGTCAGATAGCGGGAGCAGGAAGCACTGTGTGCTGGAAAACCAGCGGTCAATCAATGTCTAGAATTGGACCGCGTCCAGGAAGGGCTTCACTTGTGGCAGGGCAGTAAAGTTGAGTGGGTGTCATATCTGCTGTGGCACACTGATAAATGCAGAAAACGACTCTCTTCCTGACTGTGACGGTGTGTCTGAACTTGTGTGTGTGTGTGTGTGTGTGTGTGTGTGTGTGTACAGTCTGTTTTATGACCTCGTTAGGGCTGTGTGGCGTTTATAAAGCATGTTATGTGAACTGTATGAGGTTTGACATGATCTTTCATGTTTTCTTTTTTGGTTTCTGTCTTGTTTCTGCAGCCCGACGCCCATGTATCCCCCCACATACCTGGAGCCGGGCATCGGGTGAGACATTTACACATCTCAGATTAAGCCTGACATATGAAATAATAGTCAGAATAATCTTCTTTTTTTTTTTTTTAATGGAGCAGCATATTTGAACCTTTAGACAAAATATTTAAAAAAGTTTTCATGTGTTTTTTTGCTGAGTGTCATATCGCTCCATCAGACTTTTATGGCTCAAACAGTGAGAATATGGAGGAACAAACAGCTCAGTTGTATTCAGAGACACAAACTGAGCAAAAACATGAATTTGCTGCAGATGCTGATATTAATATGATGAAATTCTGATGTTTGTCATGTAAATCAGTGAGATCTTTATGACAGTAGAGCAGATACTGACATACAATGATCTAAATATCAGTCATCGCTCTATATCTCCAGTAATATGTCTCAGTGAGACGAGACTGAAATGCTCCAAACATATAATGCAGTGATTGAGAGCTGAAGAAATACAGGCTCCTCAGAAGATGTGAGATGTTCTGGAGGCTTGTGAAGATCATTCCTCCGCTGAGGAACAGTGAAAGTAAAGCTTCTGGAAACAAACGCTCCTCAAAAGATCCTGAGGATCAGATTTGAGACTCTAAAACATGATTGATGGAGAATCAAGTAAAGCTGAGCTGCTTCAGTGCAGTAAGTGTTCATCTGGAGATATTGCTGCAGTTATTCTGACGCTTACTTGATCAAAACCAGTCAAGATCTGACACGAGAAGCAGCAGCTGAAGCTGGACATTTGTACAATTAAACTAAAAGAGCTTTGACTGGATAAAAAAACTCTAAACTATAAATCAGACGACAGAAGGCGTGGAATAGATTGAGTACGACAGCAGAGTTTGATCATGTCGATCATTTAGAGACCTTGCGTATCAAATATGATGCAGGTTCTATATTACGATATTTGTTATAAGCACTATGATGATTCTATTAGTGTATATAGAGTTCATGAAGTGTCTGAGTGTTAAAACAGTCTGTATTTCTCAGGAGACACACACCTTACGGGAATCAGACAGACTACAGGATATTTGAACTCAACAAACGGCTTCAGAACTGGACAGAGGTGAGGCGGATCTTCTGCTGTTCTGTTTACATTTACAGCTCTGTGTTTCTCAGTCTTAACTATCAGCACTTTAAACATTTTAATAATTTAAGATGCTTTTCATATGCTTGACATAAACCCTATAACGGCTTCAGCTGGCTGAATGATATCAGAGAGCCATCTCATACTGTTTTTCTCTCTCAGGAGTGTGATAATCTGTGGTGGGATGCTTTCACTACTGAGTTCTTTGAGGATGACGCTATGCTCACCATCACGTTTTGTCTGGAGGACGGTCCTAAACGATACAGTGAGTGTCATGTATCAGGCGTTTTATCCAGACACGTTTAGATCTGATATTTGTGTCAGGTGATTGCAAGTTGTCTATTGCAAGTGCAGGATTTACTTTGAAACAGTTTTCACACATTTGGAGCCGATTAAGAGATGCTTGATTAATATCCATATAAAGGGAGTTACAATAATCAAGCCTCGTTGAAATAAAAGCACGAATAACCCTTTCAAAGTCCTTAAAAGAAAGAAATGGTTTTACTTTAGCTAAGAAGACTAACTGGTTTTGACTACCGTACTAATTTGTTTGTCAAATTTGTGCGCACTATCAAAATACACACCCAAATTCTTCACTAGTGGTTTCACACAGGAAGACAAATGGCTAAAATTTAAACCAGGGGAGGTAGCAGCTTCTGAAAGTTCAAAAGCTATAATCTCAGTTTTACCTTCATTGAGGTGAGGAAAATGTAAGGACATCCATGCCTTAACATCTGCTAGACAAGCCAACAGAGTATCCAAACCCATGTTATTAGATCTCAGGGGCAGATAGATTTGGGTATCATACAGTGGAAGGAGATACCATGTTTCTTAAAGATTGAGTTCAGGGGAAGCGTATACAAGGAGAATACAATCGGAGCGAGAATCGAGCCTTGAGGGACACCAAGTAAGAGGAGCTGTATCCAACGTAAATTCGCCAACACTAACAGAGAACCTTCTATTATTGAAATAGGATTGAAACCATTTGAGAGCATTTCCCTAAATGCCCACCCAGTGCTCCAAACAAGAGATCAGAACAGAATGGCCAATTGTATAAAATGCCGCCCTCAGGTCTAACAGCACTAACACAGCAGACTTGCCAGAATCGAGAGTCAATAAAATATAATTTAGAACTTTTACCAGTGCTGTTCCTGTTGAATGGTTTTTCCTAAAACCCGATTGGAACACTTCAAAAGTATTGTTATTAAGCAGAAAGCTCTGTACTTGGTGAAACACTATTTTCTCTAAACTTTTAGACATGCAAGAAAGATTTGAGACCGGTCTCAAATTAGTCGGCACTGTTGAATCTAAATTAGGCTTTTTAAGAAGTGGATGGACAGTGGCATGCTTCATGTCATCTGGTACTATTGCCGTTTAAAGGCAGCTGTTCATAATCTTTAGAACGGTAGGACCAATCACCGCAAACATTTGTTTAAAAAATGGTGGAGGAAGAATGTGACGGGGGGGATCCAGAAAGTTTAAGATGGCTTACAATGTTTTGTAAAGCAGGCATAGTTACAGACTCAAACTGACGCAGAGTGGAGGGACAGAGGGTTTTGTCCACAAATTTTTTTAATGAAATTTGTCACACAACTGAAGGGTTAACAGCGGCATTTATAGTGGGGAAAAAGTGCTCTTGGATTGTGAAAGTTCTTTTCAATCAAATCTGAGAAGTACTTCAACTTTGCTGTTTTCAGCACTTTCTGATATTATATCAGATTGTCCCTAAGTATTTCATATGAAACTTGCAGCTGATCTTTTTTTCCACCTTCTTTCGGCCCTTCTGCAGACCTGTCGAAGAGCATGAGTACTAAATGGCACAATAACTGTCAACTGTACTTATTTAGTTACATATTTTCATGAAATAACACCAGAATATTTGAGAATTTAATATTTGTCCTTATTGTCTCTTGCAGCAATCGGCCGGACGCTGATTCCTCGTTACTTCAGGAGTGTGTTTGAAGGCGGCGCCACTGAGCTCTACTACATTCTCAAACACCCTAAAGAGTCCTTCCACAGCAACTTTGTATCTCTGGACTGTGATCAGTGTACGATGGTCACGCAGAACGGCAAACCCATGTTCACACAGGTGTGTGTGTGTTTAATATGACGTTCAGCAGGATGTTTCTGTAGTGTGTGTGTAACTCTGCTGGTCTCCTCAGGTGTGTGTGGAGGGCCGTCTGTACCTGGAGTTCATGTTCGATGACATGATGAGAATAAAGACGTGGCATTTCAGCATCCGGCAGCACAGGGAGCTCATTCCCCGCAGCATCCTGGCCATGCATGTCAGTTCCTCTTCCTGCATCTCACAGCGTTTCTTCTTCTAGCTGGTGTTTCATACCTGATGATCGTGTGATTTGTGTGTCCGTGTCAGGCTCAGGACCCGCAGATGTTGGATCAGCTGTCCAAAAACATCACCAGATGTGGCCTGTCAAACTCCACCCTCAACTACCTCCGAGTACGAACAACACAACACTGAGACGACATCTACAACATTCATTCAGCTGATTAGTAACTAGGGCTGTCAATTCAACATGTTAATTTGGTGTGATTAATTATGGAAAAAATAATGTTAAAATAATATATTATATTATATCATATGATATACTTTAGCAATCCCACACCAGCAAGAGTGCTGCTTTTCCACAATATCTGCACCATCGCAAATGTGATACTGATTTTATACAAGAGTTCAGTAATGTTGTGCTTGCTCAATTTTGCAAACGAAAACGGTTCCAATCAAAGTCACAGCAGAACTGTTTAGCATCTCTGATCAGCACACAGCAGTGATTTGTCACTGAACGAATCCAAATTTTTTTTTAATGAATCGAGTGAGCCAATGACTCAGTGACTCATTCATAAAGGCAGTCACTTGCTTTGTTTCTGAATGAATCTGCTGTTTGAACAAATTGGGTGAGTCAATGACTCAGTCATTCATTCATAAAGACAGTCACTTGATTTGTTTTGGAACAAATCAGTTGAATGAATGAGTCAATGACTTCTGAATGAATGTTATGGCTTCATTGTAGCCTTAAAGGTTTATGTGTAACAAGTTCTATGTAAGCTACTTTTTTAATTCAATGCTTTTCTAATCTAACACAATAAAGGCTTTAAATGATCTTTTCTCAGCCCAAATTGATGTGTGATGAATTAGATTCCTCGGCACATCAGAGAGCACTATTAGTAACTAGTCTTGTGTTGTTGTGTGTCTCTCTGTCTCAGTTGTGTGTGATCCTGGAGCCCATGCAGGAGCTGATGTCCAGACACAAGACGTACAGTCTGAGTCCCAGAGACTGTCTGAAGACGTGTCTGTTCCAGAAGTGGCAGAGGATGGTGGCTCCTCCAGGTCAGGAGGCGCTCGTGTCTCTCAGAGACTCTGCTGGTGTTTGTGTAGCGTGTGTTTGAGCTTGTGTATGTTGCGTCTCTCCACAGCTGAGCCGGCCAGACAGGCGCCGAGTAAGAGACGGAAGCGCAAGATGTCAGGCGGCAGCAACATGAGCGCCGGCGGCGGGACCAATAACAACAGCAAGAAGAAGAGCCCAGCAAACAGTTTCCCGCTGTCCAGTCAGGTCCCAGTGAGTAACCAATCACGCGTCATCTTACAACACTTTACTAAAGCAACAAAAGCCAGCCAGTCAAAACACATTTGAAATTTAAACGTGATTTTTTTAAAATGTATGCATGTATATTTAAGTATTCATACATTTATGTAATTTATAATATATGTATTCATATGTGTCCTATTTATGTAATTTATAATGTGTATATATTTTTATGTACATAAGGACATATTTTAGTAATTTAATTATTAGATATAATTATTATTAATATATATAATATAATATCAATTATTAATATATTTGTATTTTTAGATGTATATACATATATGTATCTTATTTATGTAATTTATAATACATGGAGGAATGTATTTATCTATCTATCTATATATATATATATATATATACAGTGTGTATATATTTGTATTTATATCATTTTATTTATATAAAATTATACTTTATATAAAGATACATTATACATGTATGCATATATGTATCATTTATTAATTTTTTAATATGTAGAGATATACATTTATATATTTGTAATTGTTGTTATTATATATATATATATATATAATCATTTGTATTATGCATATGTATCTTATGTAATTTATAATATTTAGAGGAATGTAATTGTAGAGATTTATGCATGTATATTCATATTTATTTAATTTGTGTGTATATATTTTGTTTATTGTATAAATGTGTTTGTGTGTGTATATATATATATATATGTATGTGTAATGCATAGATGTGTACATGTATGTTTATATATCCATCTGAATTTACATGAATACAAATAGAAATATGTGATTTTTATATATATATATAGATATATACATGTGTATGTGTGATGTATTTATTTATGTAATTTCTAAAATATAAGATTTTTGTGTGGCAGAAATAGTCACACTTCATGAGCATTTTTCCTCTTAAGTGGTGTTTGTAATGTTGGTGGTGTGTTTGCTCTGCTCAGGACGTGATGGTGGTGGGCGAGCCCACGCTGATGGGAGGAGAGTTCGGGGACGAGGACGAGCGTCTGATCACGCGGCTGGAGAACACACAGTTCGACGCGGCTAACGGCATCGACGACGAGGACAGCTTTAACAACTCGCCCGCGCTGGGAGCCAACAGCCCCTGGAACAACAAGCCTCCATCCAGCCAGGAGGGCAAGAACGACAACCCCACCTCACAGGCGTCTCAGTGAGACTCGGGCTGGGGGCGGAGCCGGAGGCGGGGCCAGGGGCGGAGGTGCGGTCGACTCATCCGTCTACCTGCAGTAGCTGGTCTTCCTGTCAGCAGAGGAAGTGCACCTGGAGGACCAGAGAGGAGCGGCACACCTCAACAGAAACCGTTTCTCGACACAGGACAGTTTTTATTCACACGCTCGTGGTTTTGTTGGTGATTTATGAGGAGCCTGTAGATAGTTCATATGTTTAAGTTAAGACGAAGCGGAGAGATCGGACCACGTAAAACGCCAACAAGACCAAGACATATCCAGCTCCTGTTTCACTCACAAGAAATTAAATTTTGCATGAGGAAAATATTTAAAAAAAATAATAATAATTTTCAGTTTTAATACTGTTTTTGTATGGAAGCTCGTCTCCGCCACTGAATACAAAAATAAAACTTTTAATCTCACTTTTCTCAGATTTAGTGATATAAACTCACAATTGTAAGAAAATAGTATTTTTTTCCCCCTCTGAATTGGACTTCATAACTTGCAATCGCGAGTTTAGATCTAAATTCTGAGAAACGTCAGCATTGCAAGAAAGTCAAAACGGTGAGATCTTAACTCGCAATCGCAAGAAAAGATCAGAAATGCCAGGGAAAAGTCGCAAATTCTTTATTTAGTGGCGAAACAAGCTTCCGTAGTTTTGCTACTTCATTGCAATGAGAGAATTTTTAAAAAATGTTATTCGGCGTAAATCAAAACACTAGCGTTCTTATTCTCTCGTTTTGCATTACAGTGATGAGATGCAGGGAAATGTTTAATCATCATTTCAATGCAACAAAATAGACTAGATATTTTCTTTCAGCAAAATGTCATTTCTTATTTTTTGGATGGAAACGTCAAACACCGCAGATTAATTTCCACAGTCTCGCATCTTCCTCTGATTGCTGGAGGATGTTTAATATCACGCGTTTTGGAGAATTTTATCCGTGTTTTATACCAGCCTCTATTTCCCTCGAATGTTTTGTTTTATTTTTAATTTTTTGTACCCGATGTTGAAAGCTGCAAACCAAGGAGTAACTGAACCGTCGAGGTCCTTAAAGATTTCAAGCCTCAGATTCTATTGGTTTGTCTTATGTTTAAAGAGAGTGGTTTAGCGTGGGCTCTGATTGGTTTTCGTGTACTTGTGCTTGTATATTTAAGGTAGTAGCAGAGTTCTGTATAACTGTATTGAGATGTATTCCTCCTTAGAGTTACATAAAGCCATTCTGATCTAACGTGTACAAAACGCAAATCGTGAACGATGAAAACACACCAACCTCGTCTTTTCCCCTCTCGATTATTTAGTTTTAATTTGCGTACGGCACTCTGTGTTTGTCGCCTGGTTCTGCCGCAGAAGACGCTTTCAGTCAGATTCAGTGTTTGTTTCTTCATCTTCTGTTCTTCGTGTGTTTACGAGAGACAAACTGTGAACAGCTAGTCATGTTTCAGTAACATGTTAGTTGTTGTTTTATTTCCCCCGCACACCCGATACTGCTGAAACTCAATTTTTGTACTGTTTGATTGTTTTCTCTCTCTTTCTGACCAGCTGAATCGATCTGAATGAATTAAAGGTCTGCACTTGTAACAAACTGGTGATCTTTTCCACCTTTAACCTTGTAGATGCTCCTGTTTGATATAACTTTGTTTTCTTAATTTCTGCCCTTGATTAAATTAATGTATGGAACCAATAAAATATGAATTTTCACTTTAAGGATTTCTGCTTCTGTGTTATTTATAGTTTATTTAAATATATAATATTTATGTATTTAATTAATTTATATTTAATATTTTAAATATATAATATTTATGTATTTAATTAATTTATATTTTAAATATATAATTTATGTATTTAATTCATTATTTTTTTTATTTTAGATATATAATTGTATTTTATTTATATTTTAAATATTTAATGTGTTTTATATATGTGTTTGTGTATAAATATTAATATTTACAGTGGTGTGAAAAAGTGTTGGCCCCCTTCCTGATTTCTTATTTTTTTGCATGTTTGTCACACTTTAATGTTTCAGATCATCAAATAAATTTAAATATTACACAAAGATAATGCAAGTAAATACAAACTGCAGTTTTTAAATGATAATTTCATTTATTAAGGGAAAAAAGCTGTCCAAACCTACGTGGCCCTACGTGAAAAATTAATTGTCCCCTCCTGTTAAATCATGAAAGAACTGTGATTAAGCACATTATTTTAGAAAGCTGAGTTAAATTTCACTAGCTAATTAGAGCAGCTGAGAAATATTTGGACATAAGAGAAACAACAGTAGAGTCGGTTAAAGAAGCACTTGTAGGTGGTCCCCAAGGTTCGCAGGCTACTAATGGGGTAGGTACATAATGTATTTTGAGATAATTCAGTGGAATGCAAGGAGTCTTTTAGCAAATGGACAGGAATTTAAAAAGTATATTGAAGATTTACAACAGAAACCAAAGGTTATTTGTGTACAAGAAACATGGTTAAAACCTCATCTTGATTTTAGAATTGAAGGCTATGAAAATGTAAGGAAAGACAGGGAAGTAGGAACAGGTGGAGGTGTAGAGAAATTAGTAATAATGAAAAAGAAGTTATGGTAGAAATCTGGACTGATGAAGGTAACGTCAGGGTGAACAACTTACTGTATATACCCCATGTAAAAATGACAAAAAGAAAAATGAGAAGAGTTGGTGGAATTAAGTGGGGATAAAGTGATGTGGTGACTTTAATAGTCACAGCACTTTATGGGGTAGTAAAAATACAGATTTTAATGGTAAAGTAATTGAAGAATTATTGGATGAAAATAGACTGGTGTGTATTAATGAGGGATCAGGAACAAGGGTGAACATTGTAAATGGCCAGGAGTCATACTAGATCTCACACTGGTATCAGAAAATATGGCAAACATATGTACACGGAAAGTTTTGAAGGAAACAACAGTAGCGAGTGATCATTATCCAGTAAAAAGCAGAATTGGTGTTAGAATACAAAAGGCAGAACAAGGAAACCTAGAAAGATGGAAATTAAAGAATGCAGGTATATTTGTAGTAATAGAATTATTGAAATGGAAGACCAGGAAGATGGAATAGAAGAATATAATGAAAAAATAAGTAATATTATACATAAAACAGCGACAGAGATAATAGGAAAGAAAACAACAGTTAGGAAAAGGAAGTCAGTTCCATGGTGGAATAAAAAGTGTGAAGAAGTTATACAACAAAGGAATGAAGCATTTAAGAAAGTTAAATCATCTTATTTATACTCGGCCCTTATAAAGCTATAGTATAGTGAAGAGGCTAAGGAGTGTAGAGCGAGAGTTCGGAGAGAAAATCCTCATAAGTGTGAAGCAAGTGGAAACCCGCTAGATGCAGATTTTTCACTTTATGAATTAAAAAGAGCGATTGCTAAAGTAAAAGAAACTTCTCCTGGGCAGGACGAGATATGTTATAGTATGATAGGAAAATGATCAGATGTAGCACTTTTTAAATTACTGAAGTTATACAACAAGGCAGAGGGCAAACTTCCTTCAGCATGGAAACATTCAATAGTTATCCCCTGTAGGAAAGCCTGGCAAAGATCGGTCAGAAGCAACAAATTATAGACCAATAGCACTAACATCAGGTAGAACGACAATGGATTCAATATTATGTTTAGAATCAGAAATAAGAAAGGCACAGGTAAATAAAGAAGTCGTAATTGCAGTTTTTATTGATGTGGAAAAAGCTTATGACATGTTATGGAAAGAAGGGCTACTTATAAAACTCAAGAATATGGGAATTAGAGGAAGAAGTTATAACTGGGTGTTGGATTTTTTATTTGAGAGGAAAATTCAGGTTAGAGTGGGAACATCTTGTTCTACTTGTTCTACTGTTTATGAGGTTTAAAGTGGAACTCCTCAAGGGAGTGTGTGTAGCCCTCTTCTATTCAATATAATGATCAATGATGTATTCAATGATTTACAGCAAGATATGGGTAGATGGTTATATGCGGATGATGGGGCACTTTGGAAAAGAGGCCGAAATGTATCATATACAGTTAAGAAAGTTCAGGCTGAAGAGTGGGCACTGAAATGGGGTTTTCGAATATCAGTAGCCAAAACACAAATCATTTGTTTTACAAAAAAGAGAAATATTAATATTAATCTATCATTATATGGACAGCTTCTGGAACAGGTGTCAGTGGTAACATTTCTTGGAGTACATATTTCTTTGAATACACATGTAGAAACACTGCTGACTGAGTGCAAAAAGGCGCTGAATGTTATGCGACGTCTAGCAGGTAGTGATTGGGGTGCGAGTAGAAGTTCTCTTAGGAATATATATATATGGCTATCATCCGATCAGCAATAGATTATGGTAGTATGATTTATGGGTCGGCGAGTAAGTCTCTACTAAAAATAATAACGTAAAGAAAAATAGGGAATCACAATGTGCATTAATACTGAATTAATTTATTAATAATTAAATATGTATATAGAATTAAAAAAAATTTTAAATTCCCATTAGTATTTATAATTAATTTACCCCATGAATATATATATATATAAAACCTAAATATTTTAGGTGATTTATAATATATATGTAACGGGGCTGACAAGACGTGAGACGTGCGGATCCAAATGCAAGCTCTTTATTAGGAGAAGACAGAGACGTGGTCATAAAACAGGCATGGGTCAGATAATGGCAGACAGGTATATGGCGGGCAAAACACAAGAATAGTCCTAGGGCTAGCGTAGGTCGACGATCGGCAGACAGAATCACAGGGGCGAGACTAGAGGGATAAATCCAGGGAGACAGGCAAAGAGCAGAACCGAGAAAACTGACAAGGCAAGGCAAAACAAGGAAAACACGG